CATGTGTATTTATTTAATTATAATATAATTTTAATTCTTTAACAACACTGCTTTTGTGGCACAGGTACGTGTAACTTAAAAAAATACAAATAAGTTATCACAAATTTACTGTAAATAAATCGTCGTTTTCATTTATACATAGTTCTTATGATATAAATATATACAATGATCGATTGTGTCTCATGTAACAATGTTATGTAAATCTTAGATCTGAATTGGTAGAAAGTAGATTGAATTACACTAAAACAAAATGAGATAGTATGATACGATGTATTGCAGTATATTAGATGCATAAGAGACAAACCTTCAAATGTGAATTTTTTAATTGTATGTCATATATAAAATCTAGAATTAAAATATTAGTCGTTTTATTTATACTACACACGCATTCTTGTTGATATACTGTAACTATAACAACAAACGTAAACTGTTATGTTTTCATCATATATAAGCACTTAATGGCTTAATACTGATCTATTGAGAATTAACAACAGTTTATGATTGTAAATTATTTTTACACACATTTCACTACTTTTAACTGTCTTATTTTAAAGTATACTACATTTTATGTATATTATCAACAATATGTATGAATTCTATTTTTTAATGAATATTTTAAAATTTTAAAAATCATTTACATAATTCTGACTAATGCACCAAATTCTATACATTTTATTAGAATTAGAAGTTAGTTCTTGGTTGTAAAATCAAAGTATTGCATTATTAATGTACAAACATAAAATGTTTTATTCATAATCACTTGATGACAAAATATTAATAGAACTTACAAAACAATTACAATAATAAAAAAAAGTCGAATACGTTTTGAACACTTTTAAAACTATACACTATTTTAATAAAGTAATTTAATTATAAATTAACATAATATGTGTAGCATAGTATGCTTTTAATAACCATTTAAAATAATGAACAGACGATTATTAAAACGTAATGAAACATCAATTTAATATTCAGATCACATCTTTACTATGAAAATAAATTATAAAATACTTACATGTTCTGTGTATTCAGAAGTAGCGACTTTGTATTACTGTGTCTATGAGCAAGTCTTATTCCAGTTGCATTGAAATCATATTCTCTAAGATGAAGCAGTGTAATTTTCCTAATTATCAGCTCAACTATTTATAATTATTTGTTCATTATACAATTGTTTTAAAAAATCTTATAGTAATTGTATAATTTCTCAAAGAACAAATATGATAATAAAGCAGTCTTACAGAAATCGGTATACTAAATACACCTGAGGCATCACTAATAAATGAAATTTTGTCCTTTAAACAGGAACATTAAGAGTATATTCTTACAAAATCTAAATAAACTAATAGGGAATAATACTTAATTATACATCCATTATTTAGATAACTTGCTGGTGATTCCATTGTCCAAGGAATGAAGACGTATAATATTAAAAAAAAAATTGGTCTTATTTATGTTGATGGACCATTTCTCCTTTTGTTGCTGTGTATTTGTTTGTAGGATTTTTTATTCCCAAGTCCTAAAATATTTAAAGTTTAATTAATGTCGTACATTCAATATTTTATATTAATATGCTTATAAGAAATGGAGGAAAATTAAAAAATTATCTTACGTTTTAACTGAGCTACCCGAGAACGTGTTAAACGTGGCGAAGTTTTAGATAAAGGAAGTGTTGAGGAAGTTTTTTTTCTTAAATGAACTATATTTATGTCGAAATGAGCCTGACTGCTTTTCTTTCATTTTCTGAATTACATTTAACATGGCATATGTAGGCAAGGATGGAGGTGGAGGAGATGGTGGCGGTGTAAGGGGTGAAGGTGGAGGTTGCACACTAATTTTTGCGAGTTTATCAGGATGCAGAGCTAATACTGCCTCCCAACAAAATTCTCTTCTTTCAACTGGACACTTAAGTTGTGTATTTCGCGTCACGCGTATCTAAAAACAATAAGAATTATTATTATTTTTTTTACAATATAGTAAAATTTAACATTAACAGTAAATGTAAAAAAATACCTCGCCATTAACAGGCTTACAAGGTTTTCTTTCTCTTAAGTATGGTCGTTTGAAAGATATAGGGTAAGAAATATTTTCGTTAGATTCCCTTACATGATACAAACATGTAGGAACATCACTTTTTTGTTTAGGACCAGATTGAAATAAACTACGTAAATAGGAATAATTGGGTTTAGTTTCAAATCCCAATTCAGTAATATATTTCATATATTCTATAATAGCAGCTGCTAAAAAAATATTAATTGTTAATTTATGATTTA